ACGACTGTCTTGGTGTGTTTGGACCATGATAGTTCGTTGGTGATGTGGACACCAAGGAACTTGAAGCTCTCAACCTGTTCCACTACAGCCCCGTCGATGTGAATGGGGGCGTGCTCAGTCCTCTTTTTTTTCCTGTAGTCCACAATCATCTCCTTTGTCTTGGTCATGTTCAGGTCTCTCCAGAGATGTTAGATCGGGTTCAAGTCCGGGCTCTGGCTGGGCCACTCAAGGACATTCAGAGACTTGTCCAGAAGCCACTCCTGCGTTGTCTTGGCTGTGTGCTTAGGCTAGTTGTCCTGTTGGAAGGTGAACCTTCGCCTCTAGTCTCAGGTCCTGAACGCTCTGGAGCAGGTTTTCATCAAGGATCTCTCTGTACTTTGCTCCGTTCATCTTTCCGTCGATCCTGACTAGTCTCCCAGTCCCTGCTGCTGAAAAACATCCCCACAGCTGCCACCACCATGCTTCACCGTAAGGATGGTGCCACGTTTCCTCCAGACATGACGCTTGGCATTCAGGCCAAAGCGTTCAATCTTGGTTTCATCAGACCAGAGAATCTTATTTCTCATGGTCTGAGAGTCCTTTAGGTGCCTTTTGGCAAACTCCAAGCGGGCTGCCATGTGCCTTTTACTAAGGAGTGGCTTCCGTCTGGCCACTCTACCATAAAGGCCTTATTGGTGGAGTGCTGCAGAGATGGTTGTCCTTCGGGAAGGTTCTCCCATCTCCACAGAGGAACTCTGGAGCTATGTCAGAGTGACCATCGGGTTCTTGGCCACCTCCCTGACCAAGGCCCTTCTTCCCCGATTGCTCAGTTTGGCCGGGCGGCCAGCACTAGGAAGAGTCTTGACGGTTCTAAACTTCTTCCATTTAAGAATGATGGAGGCCACTATGTTCTTGGGGACCGTCAATGCTGCAGAAATGTTTTGGTACCCTTCCCCAGATCTGTGCCTCGACACAATCCTGTCTCGGAGCTCTACGGACAACTGTACTGAATTGCTGAGTCTTTATTAGTATGTGTGACCCCAAGCACAGCATTTCAGCATTCTCCTTTTCTTTTAGTTTTAATCTCATCAAACACACTCCTGATAAATATCTAGATGCTGTATACATTTTGAGTACCATATTAATTGATCCAAGGAGTTGGAAATTATATATATGCATTTACATGAGATGGAAACTGTTTAGTGCTACATTTTGTCAAGCACATTAAAAATAATGTATAGTTTTCTAATATTTCTCACGATTGGATGATATTTAAAAAAAATGTTTTAAGTTGATTTATTTCTCCCCCATTTGGGAATTGTTTTGTGTTTTCGTTATGGCTTTGATTCAGAGGCTATAAGGACTTCTGTGGTATTCTGTCCAGAATCCCCTAGTTGAAGTGATTACCATATCATGTTACCATTGTGGTTCTGTTTCCTTTAACCCAATGGACCACAGAGTGCAGTGTGTGAACCTCGACTAAACAGCTCCTCTCTGTGTTACTCATGGAGCTGTTGTCTGGCTCTTCTATGAGGGGTTAATGTGGACTTGACTGCAAAATAATGAAGAATAAATAAATAGAATGATCTGTTACGTAAGGCCTCTTGTCAGATGACATTTAGTGGATTTTGTCATCAGGACATCTGTCTATTCTTCTGCACAAAAGCAATGACGGTTTCGACAGAACTTGTTAAATGCCTATGAAACACACACACGCACACAATCACACACACACAGAGAGGACTTTACAATATACCTTGTCTAGCCTGTTACAGTTCCTCATGGTGACTAGTAGTGACTGTTACTGCAGCTGGTTTAAGAAGTCTGGTCCTGGCCCTGTTATCAGAACATCTTTGTCTGAGGTAACAGTGCATACATTACCTGGAGGCATTAGTCCTATGTGTGTGTCAAGGTGTTAGTGTAATGCGGTAGGACGAAGTCAGGCACAGGACACAGAGCTAATCGAAAAACGTACTTTACTCTTAGGTATCTTAAAGAACATACCTCCACGCAGGGAGGAACAAACCCGCTCACATACGACAACCAAAACATGAACAAACACGCACAACACACAGTGTGAGCCAGAGGGTTAAATAGGGAAGACATAATTACATGATGGGAAACAGGTGAGACCAATACAGACAAAACAAGTAGAACATAGCAACATGGATCGGTAGCAGCTAGTACTCCGGTGACGACGAACGCCGAAGCCTGCCCGAGCAAGGAGGAGGGGCAGCCTTGGCTGAATTCGTGACAGTGTGACAGAAGGAATCATACCTCCAGACACTTTCTGTATGTGGGTGCTGTCTATACAGCTGATCCAGTTCCACCCCCCAGCCCTTTCACATAACCCAACCTCAGTGTGATCACAAGAAGTCTACCTGAGAGTGTCATACGTCACAGGACTGGAGGCATCCACTGTAAAACAACAACGACAACTTCACTTCACACCACTGTTTACCACGGCTTGACAGACACAGACTCTGCGTCTCAAAATTGCTCCCATCAAAGGAAACTTTGTTGTTTATTGTGTTTATTGCGACAGTGGAAGCATATTTTTTGTTCACATCATGATCGCAGATCTACAGAGCTTGCATATTTTGCCCTGTAGTTCTAACTCAAGGCTACCACAAGACACCATCCCTAGGGGCACCTGTTACCCTCTCTCTACCTCACCAACTCTCTGTCTCTCACTCTTTCTATCCCTCTCTTGCTCTCTCTCTACCCCCCCTCTCCCCCTCTCCCTGTCTTTGTCCTCATCATAACCAGACAGGCAGGTTCAGAATGGGGAATTCTCAGAGTGGAAGAAACTACATTACAGTAGATTTCTCAGAAGCTGTTATCATCTCACTCTGGCAGATTGACCACAATGATCTGTTATTATCTTTGTGAATCTTTGTATCCGTGTGACTCTTTGAATGTCTGTCGGTTTGCATGCATGTCTCTTTTTAGAGAGTGTGAATAGTTTTGTTCCTTGTTCCAATGATTGTGCTGTCTTCAACATCACCTGTTGTTTGGTGGAATTTAGGACAGACCGAAGTTTCAACATCTCCTCAATGACTCACACCTCAAAAACTTGGTCAAGTGAAAGCGGGCGTTTGACATTGCAGCCAACTTTGAAGTCGAGTCGAGACTGACTGATCTACATATCACGTTGCATCGTAAATAGCTACTCATTATTATTAGTAGTATATCAGTCAGTCAGTCACAATTTACCCATGATACACGGTTTTGATGCTCTCGAACTTGACCAAAGTCAACATCAGCCTGAAATGATTGATGAGTGGTGACAATTGCAGGGACTGGAGTGGAAGTTTACTAGAGTTACTGATGAGGAGGAGACAGCAGATATGAGATGAAACTTCTAACTTCAGATGGGTGCACTTAACTCAATCTTTCTTGTTAATAATGCATTGATGTCATTGGAAGATTTTAGGGAATTCTTGAGTTACAAGCATGGATGTTAAGTTACGATTTAGACCTATCCGTTTGCAAAGAAATGTGCTCTCCGGTCTACAAACTGCGCTTTTACCACAAAGACATAGTGATATAGAGCAGAGATGCTGTTCTCAGCAGTGACTAGGGTCTGGTTTCAATAACGGACTCTTCTGGCATAGAGGAACTACTCCACTACCTAGGTCCCTACCCTATCTGCCTGAATAAAATCCAAAATAGTAGCTAGCAAGATGGAGATAACAGAAATTATTTCTAATAAGTGCATTTTGCAAGTGGCTAATTTGGTTAAACTACTTTCACTAAAACCACTGCAAAGGTTTTGCCTGCAAACTTTGGTTTCAAACTGCGCCGTTCTGGCATGTCTTCCTCGTGATTTGTTGAGAGAGTTGTCTGTCTGAAGAGGACCGACCCCAGAAATTCATTTTCCCCTTATCGAAGTTGCCAAAAGAGTTTGTCATTGATAACAGATCCTAGTCTCTGCTGTTGCCTACGGTCAGGTTTCTGAGACTACTGTTCAGCAACATAGCAGTAGCCCAGAGTTCATTCATGGTATATTCTATTACTGTAGAGCCCGGGACATTTGAGCTTTGAAGGACAGGGCTCCAGACTATGGAGGGAAGAGCTCAGTGTTCATACAGTTATTACAAGCACATGTGTTTGGGCACTGGGAAAATGCCAGCAGCACTCTCACTCTCTCTCACTCTCTTTCTTCCCGTGTCACTGTGGCATTAGGCCTGCAGCCTAAATAGACAGCATATGTGTGCTCATCAGGTGGGCTCTGCAAACAGAGCAGACAGTGAGAAGAAGCAGATACGGTGTCAAGATGTCAACAGACACAGAGAGAGAAGTTACACCTGTTTAAATTGATAAATAATTGAATGGGTGTATGTAGAGCATGGAAGCAGCAACTGAAAGTTAATTGCACATTCAAACTTTTAATATACATAAAATACTGTGGATATATACATTTCATAATGTACATGAATAATGTGGAAATAGATTTAAAGGTATTCAGAAATTTTTAAGAACTCCTATAACGTCCACGGACAAACCAAGCATGCATTATGAAACTGACACAAATTCCAACTATAGTGTTCATCGTAGACATGTTTTCAATATGAAATGTAATATCTCATATGTATCCTGCTGCATCAGCTCCCAAAATAGAGAGAAATGCTGGTTACTGTACACATTACACATAGAAACTAACTATTCAGGTATCCAACATCCACCATGATGTTTAGTTAGAACATTTCACACAGCATAGACACCATATGCAGTTCACAAATCAATCAACCCTGTACATCACTGATGCTTAACCAATACAAATATTGATAAATGAATATAACACCGTATGACAGAGTTTATACCTGTTTATGACACTGTCCATATCAATGTCAAATAAAGTGTTACCCAAATTGCCTTGAATGTAAAAATCAACAACCCGCTTGGGCAAAAAACTACCAGTAGACTAAGCAAAATGGAACAGTCAAACCAATGAGAGAACCATAGAGACACACTGTGTGATGTACCGTAAGAAGTAAAAGTTCCAGACAGTGGTCCACTCATAGGCTCATGCATCTCCTCAGATGGTATGGTCGGGTCAGCTGACCTGTGACAAACACTCCATGGTCTACTGCGGTGCACTGGGTGGCAGTGTCAATGTTCTGGCTAATGGACCAGCTGTTCTGAGATGCTGTGGGTTCTATTGGTGGAGGAGACATGAAGAAAGAAGGTGAACTGATGGAGTAAGGGTGACTGGTGCACTTCCCTTCTGTCTGAGAGACTGAAGTCTCAGAGACTGCACTAGAGTCAGAAATGCCCTTTCTGGAATACTCATACACGTTCTTCATGAAGGCATTCTTGGTGTTGTGCTCCTTCTTGAAGAGGATGACGTAGCACTTGGGGAAGAAATGACAGCTAAGGACGGCGTAGTTGAAAATGAGGATGACCACCATCTCCACCGCTGGCAGGTACTTCCCTGAGGTGGTCACATAGACGGGCACGAAGATCACCCAGGACATGAGGTAGATGAGCATGCTGAAGGTGATGAACCTGGCATCGTTGAACTTCTGTGGCAGCTTGCGGCCTTTAAACGCGCAGGCGAAACAGACGAGCGCCAAGACAGCAATGTAGCCCAGCATCACACCAAACGCAACGTAGGAGCCCTCGTCACACTCGGCCAGCACAGTGGTGGCGAAGACGGTGGCCTTCTCCCGGGGGCTCTGCAGGACCAGCCACAGGGTGCAGGTGAGAACCTGTAGGGCCACACAGAGACAAATGATGGCGTAGGGTTGGTAGAGGCGGCGGAGAATGTCCTTCAGGTCAGGCTTGAGCTGGAAGGCCAGCAGGATCTTCAGGGACTTGACCAGGATGCAGGAAACACACAGGGTGAAACTGAGGCCAAACAGCACCTGACGCACCTTCACAATGAGATGAGAAGAGATGAGACAATGAGACAGAACTGTATTATCTCTTTGTATTTACATTTGCTTTGCGTCTACAAACTAATTTCCTTGCCACAAAGTTACAAAAGGTTCAGAACAATACACACACAATAAACCATGAATTCACAAACTGACACTGGTACAATCAGACAATGTCACAGACAGTACATTACAGAAGTGTTTCCCAAACTGTGTGTACCGTACATACCTTACACTGGAGGCTGCTGGGATGACCTACGAAGAACACAGCGCCAACAAAACTTCCCACTAGGGAGAGCAGGATGAGCTGGGAGAGAGGCCCCCCGGCAGCCTTCACCACGGGGGTCTGGTGGTGGTGTAGGAAGAGCGCCCCCACCAGGAGAACCAGGATGATGCCCAGGGCCACCAGCGCCAGCAGCACCACCGCAAAGCCATCCTGCCAGGAGAAGAACTCCAGGGTTTTATGGGTACACCCAAAGCTCCCTTCCAAGGACCACTCTCTCTTTGTGTCACAAGACAGACACTGGTCCATGTCTGAAGAGGAGAGAGAGGCACACAAAGGGTTGGAAAGGAGGATAGTGCTTGAACAACTGTTTAGCATTTAGAAATATATTTGTTGTTGCCTCGTACTAACAGTGTTGGATAAGGACAGTGTTGTAAGATTGTGTGAACTGAGGAGAGTTAGAGTACACTTGTGTGTATAGATGACAGTACAGGAGAACTAACCAGTGTTGTTGGTGTAGTTGTTCTCAGTGCAGTTGATACATTCATAGCAGCAGGTGTGCTGACCCTCAGCAGTCTTCTTGAACTTCCCAGGTTCACAGCTAGCTGAGCACACAGACACCACATCCTGCATCGGGAAACAATGCAATAATTTAAATGGCTGACCCAAGAAAAACTGTGACTGAAATCTATTAATAGTAGTTTTCAAACAAGCCTTTACATGGCACAGTTTAACCTAGCTCTCAACTTAAAACCATGTTCAATTGAGCAGACCCTTACAGAAAAAACACATGAATTTCACGTGATCACATGTGAAGTGTTCCAAAAACATGTTTTCATGTGATCACGTTATCGTATGTGAAGTTAATGTGATAACATGTGAGAGTATGTAAAGCCACATGTGAAATTTCAAGAGAAATCATGTGATTTTCCACATGTAAAATCATGTGGTTTTTCAGTCAGGGAGGTGTATTCACAGCCTGGTCTCATAGACTAGTTGTAACATAGTAAAAATACATCTAGAACACTCAAATGAGTATGATATGTTACGTTTGGTATAGCTACATAAGACTGGGTCTGGGTGTATGGGTTGGCATATAACGCGAACATCTAGCAACCCAAAGGTTGCAAGTTTGAAACTCATCATGGAAACCTTTAGCATTTTAGATAATTAGCAACTTTTCAACTGCTTACTACTTTGAAACTACTTAGCATGTTAGCTAACCATTCCCCTAACCCAAACCCTTTTAGCTAACACTAACCTTAACCTTTTTAGCTAACCCTAACCCTAACCTTAACCCTTTAATCTAACTCCTAAACTTAACCCTAACCCTAACCCCTAACCCTTACCCTCAGGTCAGTTAGATTTTTGGTGTGTCCACTGGTGTAGCTGAAGCTGTTGTTGATTGGATGGTACTCAGCTATAATGTCATTGACGTTGATGACCCCTCTCACAGACTTCCACAGGGTTACATCATAGCCAAGGCCAGGGTACGATAGATTCGAAAAGATGGTGGAGGCGGACGATGAAGTGGATTGTGAATCTAAAAACGTAAGAATCAAGGAGGATTGAAGTAAATCAAATCAAATCAAATGTTATTTGTTGCATGCGCCAAATACAACAGGTGTAGACCTTACAGTGAAATGCTTACTTACAAGCCCTTAACCTACAATGCAGTTTTAAGAAAGAATACCTAAAAAAAAAGAAATAAAACTAACAAATAATTAAAGAGCAGCAGTAAAATAACAATAGCGAGGCTATATATAGGGGGTACCGGTACCAAGTCAAGTCACCGGTTAGTCGAGGGTATTGTTCAAAAAATGGGAAAAGGAGCAAAGTAGGGTACAGTGCGGAGAATGTCCCTTTATGTCTTGTAGGAGTAAGGTTTGTTAATGAGGAGCAGCTTATCGAAATACCAATCTTGAAGAATCCATTTGAGCTATCCAAACTGGTGGAGAGCGTGATGGGTAAAGTGAAGGATGTGAGGATCACGAAAGGCGGTTTTGTTTTGATTTGATGCACGTCGGATGACTCGAGTGGTGAATGATGAAAAAGTGAAGAGTTTATCTGTTCTTTAGTTTTTTGACATGTAACCGGTGTGAAATGGCTAGCTAGTTAGTGGTGCGCGATAGTAGCGTTTCAATCGGTGGCGTCACTCACTCTGAGACCTTGAAGTAGTTGTTTGCCTTACTCTGCAAGGGCCTCTGCTTTTGTGGAGCGATGTGTAACCGTGCTTCGAGGGTGACTGTTGTCGATGTGTGCAGAGGGTCCCTGGTTCAAGCCCAGGTTGGGGCGAGGAGAGGGATGGAAGCAATACTGTTACATTGATGCTGTTGACCCAGATAACTGGCTGCTGCGGAAAAAGGAGGAGGTCAAAGGGGGGTGAGTGTAACCGGTGTGAAATGGCTAGCTAGTTAGCGGTGCACGATAGTAGCGTTTCAATCGGTGGCGTCACTCGCTCTGAGACCTTGAAGTAGTTGTTTCCCTTGCTCTGCAAGGGCCGCAACTTTTGTGGAGCGATTGGTAATTGTGCTTCGAGGGTGACTGTTGTCGATGTGTGCAGAGGGTCCCTGATTCAAGCCCAGGTAGGGGTGAGGAGAGGGACGGAAGCAACACTGTTACACGTACTCAATTGCAGTTGAGGTATATAAACTACAAAGTCACAGCATTTATCCCAAGACCAATGCAGTGTGATCATTGTAAAGCTTTTGGTCATGTGTCAAGGGTTTGCAGAAGGGAGAAACCGAGATGTCCTAGTTGTGGAAAATATCATTTAATGTGTTATAAAAGTGATGAAAAAGTGAAATGTTGCTAAGAATATCGAACAGGAAGCTAAAAAGAAGGCAGCTATGAATGAGTATACCGACATAGAAGCTTTTAATAAAATACGGGTCGGAGCAATTTGGACAACGAGGATTTTAACTCCGCCGACGAAGATTGCTTTCAAGAAGGATTCGATCCACATTTAGATCTGTAAGTAAATTAATTTAATGACTTTATAGAGCTAATTTACTATATGTATTTCGTTTTTTATACGTTTTTGTGCTTTGGATTTAGTTTACATAGGCCTACAGTGGGGAAAAAAAGTATTTAGTCAGCCACCAATTGTGCAAGTTCTCCCACTTAAAAAGATGAGAGAGGCCTGTAATTTTCATCACATGTACACGTCAACTATGACAGACAAATTGAGAGAAAAAAATTCCAGAAAATCACATTGTAGGATTTTTAATGAATTTATTTGCAAATTATGGTGGAAAATAAGTATTTGGTCACCTACAAACAAGCAAGATTTCTGGCTCTCACAGACCTGTAACTTCTTCTTTAAGAGGCTCCTCTGTCCTCCACTCGTTACCTGTATTAATGGCACCTGTTTGAACTTGTTATCAGTATAAAAGACACCTGTCCACAACCTCAAACAGTCACACTCCAAACTCCACTATGGCCAAGACCAAAGAGCTGTCAAAGGACACCAGAAACAAAATTGTAGACCTGCACCAGGCTGGGAAGACTGAATCTGCAATAGGTAAGCAGCTTGGTTTGAAGAAATCAACTGTGGGAGCAATTATTAGGAAATGGAAGACATACAAGACCACTGATAATCTCCCTCGATCTGGGGCTCCACGCAAGATCTCACCCCGTGGGGTCAAAATGATCACAAGAACGGTGAGCAAAAATCCCAGAACCACACAGGGGGACCTAGTGAATGACCTGCAGAGAGCTGGGACCAAAGTAACAAAGCCTACCATCAGTAACACACTACGCCGCCAGGGACTCAAATCCTGCAGTGCGAGACGTGTCCCCCTGCTTAAGCCAGTACATTTTCAGGCCCGTCTGAAGTTTGCTAGAGTGCATTTGGATGATCCAGAAGAGGATTGGGAGAATGTCATATGGTCAGATGAAACCAAAATATAACTTTTTGGTAAAAACTCAACTCGTCGTGTTTGGAGGACAAAGAATGCTGAGTTGCATCCAAAGAACACCATACCTACTGTGAAGCATGGGGGTGGAAACGTCATGCTTTGGGGCTGTTTTCCTGCAAAGGGACCAGGACGACTGATCCGTGTAAAGGAAAGAATGAATGGGGCCATGTATCGTGAGATTTTGAGTGAAAACCTCCTTCCATCAGCAAGGGCATTCAAGATGAAACGTGGCTGGGTCTTTCAGCATGACAATGATCCCAAACACACCGCCCGGGCAACGAAGGAGTGGCTTCGTAAGAAGCATTTCAAGGTCCTGGAGTGGCCTAGCCAGTCTCCAGATCTCAACCCCATAGAAAATCTTTGGAGGGAGTTGAAAGTCCGTGTTGCCCAGCGACAGCCCCAAAACATCACTGCTCTAGAGGAGATCTGCATGGAGGAATGGGCCAAAATACCAGCAACAGTGTGCGAAAACCTTGTGAAGACTTACAGAAAACGTTTGACCTGTGTCATTGCCAACAAAGGGTATATAACAAAGTATTGAGAAACTTTTGTTATTGACCAAATACTTATTTTCCACCAGAATTTGCAAATAAATTCATAAAAAATCCTACAATGTGATTTTCTGGATTTTTTCCCCTCATTTTGTCTGTCATAGTTGACGTGTACCTATGATGAAAATTACAGGCCTCTCTCATCTTTTTAAGTGGGAGAACTTGCACAATTGGTGGCTGACTAAATACTTTTTTCCCCCACTGTATGTAACAAGTCATTTCAATGTTATATAATTCCAAAGTAGTTATTGTCTATGTTTCATATTAGTTCACTGTTTGCTAAACTCTCATGGCCATTGTTTATTTGTGGTTCTCACATCTGCCTTTGTCTACAAAGTGTTACTGTTTGCATTGTGTGTGTTCTTCACACCTTCTATGTGAGTCACTGTACAGATAAAGTTTAGGCTTGGTGTTTCTACTTTAAAGTAATGCCGTTTTGTAAATTCAGTCAACTGTAATTCTGTGTGTCTTACAACAATATATCCCTTTATTTTATTCACCACAGAGTGGAGGATACAGAGGATTTGGATGATGACGTTTGGGAGCCACCCCTCCCCAGCAAGCGCCGGTCAAGGTCTTCACCCCCCATTGCTATGTCAATCACCCTGTCGGATGGTTCTACACCCACTTTTCATAGACCTCTTGAAAATGAAAATAGTGGCTTGTGGCACCATTGGTCCTAAAATAATCGGTTTCCCGAAGACCAAGGTAAACGACATAGTGGTCCTCTGTAGCTCAATTGGTAGAGCATGGCGCTTGTAACGCCAGGGTAGTGGGTTCGATCCCCGGGACGACCCATACCTAAAAATGTATGCACACATGACTGTAAGTCGCTTTGGATAAAAGTGTCTGCTAAATGGCATATATTATTATTATTATATATTATGACAAAGACAGAGGAGAGGGGGACAATACATTGGATCAGATCTAACAAGCTGCTTTTTGTGAAACGGAAAGACACAAAGAAAGGGAAGTAACCGTGCTCACCACACCGCATAAGGCATTCAATAACGACAATGTCTCAAGGAGGGTGAAAATAGAAGAATGTCTCCCTTCCTGTTTCTGTGAAGGACTACAATGCCAGCATGGGGGTTATCGACCTATCTGATGCTCTGATAGGCTACTACCAGGTCCTCCACAAGACCAGGAAGTGGTATAATACTTTTTTTTACCACTTTGTGGACATTGTTACAGTAAATGCTTTCATTCTCCACAAGCAAATGGCCAAAGCAAAAGGTCAAACCCCTCTCTCCCAGTTGGCATTCCGAGAGCAGCTGGTGTTGGAAATGACTGAAATGGGGGCCCAAAGCAACCTCACAACCATCACATGACCCCCCACTCAAGGTGAGCGCCACTATTCAACACACATGCCAAAAGACAAAAGGAAGAACTGCACAAAACACTGGGGAAAAAGGGGGAAATGCCAGATCTTATATCCGAAATCCCAGTTTGCTTTTTGTTTCCTGGCAGAGAGGGACTGCTTCAAAGACTGTCACGACATGCATAAGCTACGGTGAAAGTGAAATCTAATCAAACGAACACGAATGCCATTTGTAAATAGTTCAGCTTATTTATATTTTGGCACCTTTTTTAGTGAAGGACACGTGTGTATCCAAGTTTGTGTTTGATAAGACATTTTTATATATTTTTATGTATATCTGTTGTTTTTATATTGTTTTTGTAAACAGTTCATTTGTATGTGGGACCAATACATTGAATATGCCTAGACTAAACGTTCAGGCACTTTGGAGAGGTTGAAAAAACATTTGGATATCCCCTGTATGTCCCCCAACACCACCACGATGCTTGAGAGAGGTTGGTGTTGTAGAAATTTAGTTTTTATAGTGAACAATAACTTTTAGGCACATCCAGTGTGCAGAAACAGTGCAATTACCACATTCGGACACTTTCGAGAGGTTGAAAGGACACTTGAATGTACCCTGGATACCCCATAACACCACCACAATGTTTGAGTGAGGTTGATATGGTAGAAATTGTGTTTTTATACTGAACAAATAGCATTTAGGGATTGCAAATATGTAATAGCACTGGAATTATCTAATTTAGACATATGCCACTTTGGAGAGGTTTAGGGACACTTGGAAACATTCCGTGACCATACCTGACACCCACTTACTAAAACATCTGCTCATTTCTAGTTGTTAGGTCTATCAATCACATTTTTTTCTGATATTGTTCACATTTTGTGGAAGCCATCTGATGTGCTTCCAGCTCTGGGCATCAATAATTCACTCATATCTTGTCAATGAAAGATGACTTTCAAAATAAAAATTATAAAAAAGGTTATTTTGTGTGTGCTTGATCTTGTGTATTCTGAACGATGTAATTCCTATCTATCTTCTGATCATTTCCTTATAATCTCCCATATGTCTTCTTTCCAAATATACCAAGTTTTGGCATGTCAGAATCATGTAATTACACATGAATAGCAGTTACTTTTGGGAATGTCTATTTAGGCGGAAATCGACATTTTGCCATTATATTTAAGAGTTTTTAACATGACTGGGAATACAGATATGTGTCTGTTGGTCACAGATACCTTAAAACAAAGGTAGGGGTGTGGATCAGAAAACCAGTTAGTATCTTTTGTGACCATTATTTGCCTCACGCAGCGCGACACATCTCCTTCGCGTAGAGTTGATCAGGCTGTTGATTGTGGTTTGTGGAATATTGTCCCACTCCTTTTCAATGGCTGTGCGAAGTTGCTGGATATTGGCAGCAACTGGAACACGCTGTCATACATGTTGAGCCAGAGCATCCCAAACATGCTCAATGGGTGACATGTCTGAATATGCAGGCCATGGAAGAACTGGGACATTTTCAGCTTCCAGGAATTGTGTACAGATCCTTGCGACATGGGGCTGTGCATTATTATGCTGAAACATGAAGTGATGGCGGCAGATGAATGGCACAACAATGGGCCTCAGGATCTCGTCACGGTATCTCTGTGCATTCAAATTGCCATCGATAAAATGCAATTGTGTTCGTTGTCCGTAGCTTATGCCTGCCCATACCATAACCCCACCGCCACCATGGGACACTCAGTTCACAACGTTGACATCAGCAAAATTCTTGCCAACACGAACCTATACACGTGGTCTGCGGTTGTGAGGCCGGTTGGACGAACTGCCAAATTCTCTGAAACAACGTTGGAGATGGCCATTCTCTGGTGGACATTCCTGCAGTCAGCATGCCAATTGCAAACTCCCTCAAAACTTGAGACATTTGTGGCATTGTTTTGTGTGACAAAACTGCACATTTTAGAGTGGCCTTTTATTGTCTCCAGTACAAGGTGCACTTGTGTAATAATCATGCTGTTTAATCAGCTTCTTAATATGCTATACCTGTCAAGAGGGATGGATTATCTTGGCAAAGGAGAAATGCTCACTAACAGGGATGTAAACTAATTTGTGCACAACATTTGAGATAAATAAACCTTTTGTGATATGGAAAACATGGGACCAACACTTTACTTGTTGCTTTTATATTTTTGTTCAGTGTATATATTATTTAATGGGCTACGATGGGACCAGAGTTTTTCTAATCAATTTCCTATACACAGACCAGTGGGGATTTTAGCATGTTGTCACGTTCGTTGAGTAAAGGATTAGACTAAGGTGCAGTGTGGTATGCATACATGTTTAATAAATATAATAAACACTTGACAAAGCAACTGAACATGAAGTTCTAAAGGCTATACATCAACCAAGCCAAACAAACAGAAACAAGATCCCACAACATAGGTAGGCAAAATGGCTACCTAAGTATGATCCCCAATCAGAGACAACGATCGACAGCTGCCTCTGATTGGGAACCACACCCGGCCAACATAGATATAGATAACAGAATTCACACCCTGACCAAACCAACTAGAGAAAACCGGGCTCTCAAGGTCAGGGCGTGACACATGTCAATCTTGGTGAGCAAACTCCCATTTTTGTTTTAGATTCATGCCAGCAAAGCCACTACACAACACAACACTAAACAATACATTAATTGCACTATAACGGTGACAAACGGTGCCCACAAACTGTTAGGGCCTACATAAAGCTGTCCCAACAGCAGAGCTTTCTTTTCAGCACAACATAGTTATTCTTTACCACCACTTCACCTGGCTATCAGCAGAGCCTTGTCTGGCAGCGAAACAACCTTTCAGCCTCATTTACTGCCTTTTAAAAAAACATAGCTGATATGGCTGACTTGCTTAAACAAATGTGGTTTCTACTGACAATTGAGATGTACAAACTATGGCATAAGGGAATGATGAGCGGATAAGAGGCAACCTGTCATTTCGATGAAGACATTAATGAGCGAGCTAAGACGGACGTAGTCAATATAACTATTTGTTCAGCACTTTTGAAATGTACAGCGACAGAATTCAGAACATGGGCCATTCTTACGGTGTTCTCCCTGTACACCAAGTCAGAACCATAGAGAAATAAAGGGGACATATAAGCAGACAATGAAAGCTCTTACAATATTCAATGATGACTTTTCTCTAAAACAGGGTATAGGCTACAAGTCAGAACAGTAGGCTAAGTTATGAGGGGGAAAGGGACCAAATTATTAGGGTGAGAAACATGGGCTACTAACAGCTTACTACACAACAAACACTTAGTATTACTTTCTTAGCTACAGTATACATATCTCCCTGGCATATTACATAATTTATGCAGCTTATCCAACTTGTTGTGTTATGTTTATGTCCAATGGCCGATGAGCACCGATACCTTCTATCTATGATTTCTCTTCATATGACAAGGATTGAAAAGGATTTGCCAGTAGATTGTCGACGTGATTCATGATGATGACAGCTTGTGTAGCTTGCTAACTAAGATTTTGAAAGTATGATGTTGACATGATCAGTCCAATCAAAGCTACGGTAGATATAACGGGATTTAATGCCATTTTATCTGTGGCCAATGACCTTGAGCCTTCTTAGATGGGCACTTCTAATGTAAATCTAAGGTAGCACCCAAGGGGGCTTGAACTGCCTAGCTCTCCCTGTAGATTCTGCTGTGACATAGTGTCCCCATGAGTGACAGAACACTGAGCCAATCATGGCGCAACTAGAGAAGATTACCAACGCCTACACTCTGTATTTTCCGCTGGCTGCCTCTCCACCACAGAAAGCACTGAGCTAGGCTGAAACACCTGCATTTTGGAGTTGCCTTACTCAGGAAAGCAAAAAAGAGACCATGTTTGTATGCAATACAGCATGTCAGATCACTAATGTTTAGGTGTATAGGCTGCTACATTTATGTACGAGTTTTTGCTTGTGTCTGTTCGGAGTAATGTGCTATCAGAGCTGCTAAATAAATACCGGAGGAAAGTGGCGAGCGTGCCTTGAGCTTTGTTCGTTGTTCCCAGCCAGCGTGAGTCTAAAAAACAGCACTTTGCCCCTCTTTTTAATGCTTTGTGTCTATATATTTGATTAAACTTAATATAAAGTGCTGTGGCAAATGCTGCCTGGCCACATGGTTTACGGCATTCTTGTGTTGAAGTGATTATGTCATTAATCTATATCATCATTGCTGGTCTATCATTTATTTTACACAACTCTGTGGTTATTCATTATTTTATCAACCCTTTTGTTACTGTACATCAATCGACACTGTGGGTGGGTTTTGACTGCTAACCTGAGGAATGCGCTCCAGGTTGAGTTGCCGGGCAACAGCGATGGAAATCTCAGAGGAAGAGGCCCCTATTACGGCCATGATAGGCGGGGGACAGGTAGAGGTGTTGGCCCCTCTCCTACAGTCCGTGGTTGGCTCCTGTGTGAAGTAAAGAATGTACACCCTTTATATGAGGTGCTGGCTAATGGAAGATGAACTATACACATGAAAAAGAGGTCACACAGTCGTCTATCCTTGCTGTGGATTGATTTGACCAACGTTTTGGCTAAAGAGCTTTTACCTGTTGATAGATTAATTATTAATGACTAATTATTACACCCTGAAACTGTGTATAATGTGTTAGAAATGTGTGAGTGTAGGACCAGTAAGCTACCATTGAGCTATTATTTAGCAATGTGAGTAAGAGTTAGACCAGACAACAATGGAGAACTGTCTAAACCAAGATAAAGGGGCCTCCCAATTTAGGGAGGATGCGATATCTGCACCTGGCCGAGCAAGGAGTGGGAAAAGATAAGAACAGTGATGGTCAGGAGAGCACGTAACATCTTGGTCCTTCGAGCCGGATTCCAATACCCTGCTTCTGTCATTCCAGGTAACTCTGAAAACCGTCGACGGGCGAATGATACATTCGTAAATAGAAAGTCCTGCCCTTTGACATTAAGGGTTAAAACAGGCCAGAGGACACCTGATTAATGACAGAGACGGTGATGGAATCCAAACCTACATTGAATCTCGGCTGCAAGGATAAGGTCAGTAGTCTTTATTCATTAGTTGGTGAAATTGATTTGAGAACTTGCTAAAATATTGACTGAGGGTAACGTCATAATTTAAAGTAGCAAATTGATCAATGCGTAGCCATTTTAAGGTAGCCAATTTAAGGTTGTAGCCGGTAGCCGATTTAAGGTTGTTAGCCAATTTAAGGTTGGTGGGTCCGTAACGATTCACGGTAATAGGCCATTACCAAAAGAAACTACCCGGTGTTGAAATAGAAGGAACTATTAAAAGTGCACCTATGGGATGTAACCTGTAAGAGATTATAGAACAGTCAACAAATAATCAGGGTTAAACAAATACAAAAAGTACACCAGAAGGAATTAAAATAGCATGTGTGAGAAATAGAATATTAGTAAAGTCAAAAGTCACAAACAACTGTAGATTTTGCTCTAACTCTATCCGTTCTGGAGCCTTATAAACTCCAGGTTACCGATGGTGTTAACCAATAATCATGTATGGTTGTATACGTGTGAGACCTAATGTTTGCTCAAAAGTCACATCTATGAATAATTCCAGGTGGTTGAATAGAGGAGGGAGAACCCATTCCTGTTGTATGAGACTGTCAGGAATTATACAGATTACATTGTGGGGATAAATTCCTCCATAAAGTATGAGATAATTCTGGGGGACTAGTCAAGACTACATGTACAGGAAGGGGTGGTTTCAGGTGGTTGTATAGAGAAGAGGGAGAACCCATTCCTGTTGTATGAGACTGTCAGAATTATCAAGATTACATTGTGGGGATAAAATCCTCCGTAAAGTATGAGATAATTCTGGGGGACTAGTCAAGATTACATATATACAGGAAGGGGTGATTCCAGGTGTTGTGGTGTGAAGCTGTTTTGAATTACTTGTCATATTGACTTGTTATATAGAAGAGGTGGCTAAGGGATTTTTAACAGTACTAACCATGGGGGGCAAATCCTCACAAGAGGTCCCAGAATTTACTGGGGACGAGAAATTCATGGAAATGTGAGACAAACGAAATGTGTATTATGGGCATATTTGGAGGAAGAAATATGGCTTTACTGGGCGACTAGATGTAATTAAACTGGCAACCATGATTAAACAAATGCATGTAAATTGTGGTACCGATCTAAAGAAACAGAAAAGAGAGGGCTTAGAAACAGCCAGGGTGTGGCTAGTAGAAGCTAGAAAGCGGGAAGAAGGCAGAAAGAAAAGAGAAGTAAGTGAGAGTGAAAGAGAAGTGAAGGTTGAGGTCTCCGTGCCTCCCCCAGAGCAGAGGGCAGAAAGGTTATATCCAAACTTGGCAGACCAGGCATGGAGAGAAAATCCAGATGATGAATAGGTAGGGAGGAGAAGGAGAGTGCAGGGGAATAATATCGCCCCCCCACCGGCCCCACCTCCCTATGAGGAAGAAGGGGCTGGAGGAGGAAGGGAAGATGAAGGTGAGGAAGAGCCAGAGGTAGAGGAGTACAGGACAAGGGCAGAGAAAGTCAGACAGGAGGCTAAAAGGGAGAAAGAGAAAAGGAAATAGCTAGAGAGGCACAGGGCTGAGGCCAAGAGAAAGGGGAATGATGAGTCAGAAGGGGAAGAATCAGATGGGGCTGGCAGTGGTAAGGGTAAAATGGAGCAATCATATCCCTTAATAGCCCTGCCAAACCCCAGAGCAGGAGAAGACAACCAGCCTGATACCTTACAAGTATACAGAGCATGGACTCAGAGAGATGTAGTGAGAGCAGTGGAAGGGATACCCCACCCCAAGACGGGGGTACACCAGTTCAGAAGAGATATGGAAGGGCTGACCGCCAGCTTTAAGCTGAATACAGGGGAACTAGAGAGGGCAGTCAGACAGATAGTGTTAAAAGACTGGGCGACAGTGAGAGGGAACTCGGTTCCCGGAGATGGGAATGCGCAGGTCCTAGAGTGGGCAGAAGGAGGGGCTTATGGAGATAAGTTGGCACAACTCTGTGATAATCTGAGAGAATATTATCACAGACATGCCGACTTCTCCAAAGTCCATGAGTGTAAACAGGGAGACAGTGAGACTATTAGTCAATACCTAGAGAGACTGAGAGATGTGTTCAATGCAAACAGTGGGCTAATAGATCCAGGACCAGGGGCACCAGAGGGTCCGTATCACCAACAGTTAAAGATTGCCTTCCTAAGTGGAATGAGGCCAGAAATCTCTCGAACAATAAAAAATACCCTAATTGGCTGGGGGACGGCTACCTTAGCTGAGGTTAAACGTTATGCAATCCATCATGAACAGAATGTAAAGGAACGAAACAAGAGAAAGGAAGCGAAGGGAGCTGAGTACCTAGTGGCAGTCCTAGGGGAAATGGGAGGTAGGAGAGACTGGAAGAACCTAGGAGAGAAGAGAGGCAACGGTAATAGTGGAGACAGGAGTGAATGGAAGTGTTTCAATTGTGATAAAAAGGGACATTTTGCTAAAGAATGTGAGGAACCGTGTTATGACTGTGGAAGGAAAGGGCACCAGTCAAGAAAATGTAAGCAGAAGGGGAAGAGAGGAAAAGGAGGAAAGGATAATCCAGGCAGAGGAGGAAGAGACAGGGGGAGAAAGCCAGAATCAGAGGAAGAAGAGGAGGCATGACTAGAGTGGGAGGAAGAGAGAAATCAGGAGAAGCAGGAGAGAGAACTGGAGGTGTTTGATCTGTCACTTACAGATTTGGCATTACAACAGGAACAGAAACCATACCTAACATTGACAGTAATGGGTAAAAAGATAACATTTCTCTGTGATACTGGGGCAGACCGAACCTGTATTTGTAAAGATAATGCACCAGAGGGAATTGACATTAATGGAGAAAAAATTATAGTGCGATCAGCCTCTGGTCATAAAGGTATTGAACAACTATCTGCACCAGTAACACTGAAACATGTAAAGACAGGGAGTGAAGCTACTCTGCCTGTACTGATTTCAGTACAGTGTCCTGTTAATCTATTGGGAAGAGATGCGATGACGCAGTTAAACATAGAAGTAAGACCGACAGTGAGGGGAATGCAGGCTCATGTGATAAAGGATAATATGGTTGTAAGTGGTGAAGGGGAACCATGTTATTGGTATAGCCAGGACCTGTTGAGGGGAGGTAACTCAGACATACCAAAGACCTTAGTAGACTTGACTAAAACCCTAGTACCTGACTCACCTAAAATGACAGAGGATGACTTACATTAAACTCTGTGGTATAATACACACTCTGGCCCTAGTAAAGAATATGCGGAAGCTCTGTTTAAAACCACAGAAAGGACAATAGGCTTGAAATGGTTTCATTATGATGACACCCATGCAGCAGCAGAAGTCGAATTGGGGCCACAGAGTCAGCAATTCTATAGAGAGAGATGGAGCCCACATGTCTCCTTGGCAAAGGAAGCTCAAGAGGAGTGGTTAGATCTGGGGAAATGGGTGACACAGGCAAAGTATGTTAAAGACTGGCAGACTGCTCCTAACGGGGACCAACATAGCCAATCAACCGGCCGATATCGTAGGAAGTTGAATTGGAAAGCAGGTTGCACACCCGCTGTGCACCTAGACATAGGATGTGATAATTGATGACCAGATATTTTCCTCACAGAGGAACAAGAAAGAGACCTTGAGATTGTACCTCTAAAGTTGTGGTCTAAGGGACAAGCCGATGTGGGGTTAATTAAGGGAGTAACTCCAGTCCAGGTGGTTCCGCGGTCAAACCATAGGCCATACCAAAAACAATATCCAATGAAACCAGAAGCCATTATAGGGATTACTCCCACATTTGACCACTTACTCAAAGGTGGAGTGGTAATCCCGGGGGATGAGGCACAGTGTAATTCACCTGTATTTCCAGTAAAGAAGGCAGCTCCAAGCAATGATTGGCGAATGGTAATGGACCTACAGGGGGTAAATAAGAACATTATTCCAAGAGCACCCTGTGTTCCAGACCCACACACTCTATTGAACCAATTGAAACCAGAACATTCTTACTTTACTGTGATAGACATAGCTAATGCTTTCTTTAGTATACCTGTATATCCTGATAGTCAAGGATGGTTTGGCTTTACCTTCAAAGGTCAGAAATACACATACTCGAGACTTCGACAAGGTTATTCGGAAAGTCCCAAAAAAAATTCCCAGGCTATCACACGTAACCTGGGAATGTTTGAACCCCAAGAGGGGAGCCAAATTTTTATATATGTCGATGATATACTGGTAGCAAACCCCTCGAAGGAGGGGTGTAAAAAGGATACCAGTTTTTAACTTTTATGGCAGGACAAGGGCACAAGGTCAGTAAAAAGAAACTACAACTCTGGCAGAAAGAGGTAATATATCTAGGTCACACGATAACGCA